CTCATGCCTGTAATTCCATCACCTGGAAAGGCCGAGGTGGCAGATCACTTGAGGTCAAGAGTTCAAGACCAGCATGGCCAACGTGGTGAAACCCCGTCTCTACTAAAAAAAATACAATAATTAGCTGGGCATGATGGTGCATGCCTGTAATCCCAGCTACTCGGGAGGCTGAGACAGGAGAATCACTTGAACTCAGGAGGCAGAGGTTACAGCGAGCTGAGATCGTGCCACTGCACTCCCGCCTGGGCAAGAGAGCACAACTCTGTCTCAAAAAAAAAAAGCAAAAAGAAGAAAAACAAAAGATGATGGTGGTTTGATTTTGCAGCTTTTTATTCTAAAATATGGATTCCTAAACACAAAATGTGAGACATAAAGCATGGAAGATGTGGCGAAGTGGAACTGTCAGGCACATGATTCTATAGAAGAAAGAGGTAAATTGGGCCTAGTCTGAAGCATCCAACCTACAAAAAAGGACATGTGATTTAAAAGATACATGATTTGACATGCTGGAAGTCAGATGAAAGTCTAATGGAAAGACCTAATTTCTGAATAGATTCTAATATCTAAAAGAAATGGTTTCTTCCTTGAGTAATTTCTTTTCTTACTTCATAAACTGTTAGGGTAACTATTTTTGTAAGCAAAAAAATTGAGTTTATACTTCTCCCTTCCTTTTTCTTTGATGTGTACACATAGCTGCAGCATATGACATAGTAAAATGTTCACTTCTTTTTTTTGTTACAATGTACCACAAAGGAAATGTTGTTTGGGCAACTTATGATGTGCAAAGATAGAGCCAACTCACTACTCCCTGTTGCCTCACATTTAAGTATTATTTATTTCTAAAGATTATGAAGTACTTATTTCATCCTCATGCCTCTTTCACATTATTTCCTCAGTATTTTAATACAGAATAAGAAAAGCAAGACAGAATTAATATATTTTAAGGGCAAGATGACTGACCTCAGGATGACTGATTCTCTTTTATGAGAATGCTGCATGAAAGTAAGTGGGAAGTGAACTGGACGAGGAGAACAAGGCATCACACAACGTCTTCAGCTCCTTGTAGCATCTTAGTCTGTGCAAAAAGGACCTAACCTGGCTGGGCATTGTGGCTTACACTTATAATCCCAGTACTTTAGGAGGCCAAGGCAGGTGGATCATGAAGTCAGGAGCTCGAAACCAGCCTGGCCAGCACAGTTAAACCCCTTCTTTACTAAAAATGTAAAAATTAGTTGGGCATGATACCAGGCACCTGTAGTCGCAGCTACTTGGGAGGCTGAGGCAGGAGAATCGCTTGAACCTGGGAGGCAGAGGTTGCAGTGAGCCGAGATCACACCACGCACTTCAGCCTGGGTGACAGAGCTAGAATCCATCTCAAATCATGTTTTCAAACTCTCTCCAACTCATTTAAAAATTCCATTTAGTCTAACAGGCATTTGTTTGGTTATTCCTTTCCAAGTTTTAAGATCATTTAAATGCCTATACTCTTTGGAAATCCTCCTCCATCTTTTCCTTTTCATTGAGAATTAAATTAAATTCTTCTATCATTTATTGTTCACCCTCTGCATACCAAAATTGGCATCTCTGGTGATTTTCTGTTTCCATAGGAATGAAGGTGACCTTGAGAAAATATCACCTTTCCAAGGATTACATTGAATGCAGTATAGAGAATAGAGGCAACATGGAGGAAAGGGGACCACTGGTTGTGGTAACCTAGAGAAATGACAAAGCCTGGTATGTACAGTAGTAGTGGGGAACAGAGATATACGTAGGAAATAAAATAACACAGGACTTAGTGATGGATTCTATGGTGGGAGAAGAAAGTGTGGGGTTTTCTGGAGCTTGGAATCAGTTCTTACTTACTCTGGTTCTGTATTCTAACTTTTCTAGACTAAAAACTCCAGAAGGATAGAAATCATGGAGTATAATTTCTCCCTACTCATTTGGTCTGTGAAAGAACCCACAGAACAATTGAGTTTGAATGACAGCTCTGTAATTTAATAACTTGGATATGGTATGAAGATACTTAATGTTTAATCAGAGCCCACTACATTTTGGACTCTAGTAAGACAAGAGTGGTGAGGATGCAAAATCTTTACCTTTATCAAACTCTAGTTCAGAAGACAGACAATAAGGAAATACAGAAACACCAGATAAATATACACTGTTGAAGTCATTCTCCTGATTCAGTCTCCAGAGTAGCTGGGATTACAGGCATGTGCCACCACACCCAGCTAATTTTTTGTATTTTAGTAGAGATGGGGTTTCACCATATTGGTCAGGCTGGTCTTGAACTCTTGACCTCTGGTGATCCACCCACCTCAGCCTCCCAAAGTGATGTAATTACAGGTTTGAGCCACCCCACCCAGCTCAGAGAACTTCTTGAGATATAATTTGATTAATTTTCAAAGAACTTCTTAAGATCTGGAGATCTAATTTGATTGCAATGTGGTCTGAGAGACGGTTTGTTATGATCTCAGTTATTTTGCATTTGCTGCAGAGTGTTTTACTTCCAATTATGTGATCAATTTTAGAATAAGTGCCATGTGGTGATGAGAAGAATTATATTCTTTTGTCTTTGGATGAAAAGCTTTGTGGCTATGTATCAAGTCCACTTGATCCAGAGCTGAGTTCAGGTCCAAAGTATTTTTGTTAATTTTCTGTCTCAGTGATTTGTCTAATATTGTCAGTTGGGTGTTGAAGTCTCCCACTATTAGTGTGTAGGAGTCTAAATTTCTTTGTAGGTCTCTAAGAACTTGCTTTATGAATCTGGGTGCTCCTGTATTGAGTGCATATATATTTAGGATAGTTAGATCTTATTGAATTGAAGCTTTTACCATTATATAATGCCCTTTGTCTTTTTTTAATCTTTGTTGGCTTCAAAATCTGTTTTGTCAGAAACTAGAATTGTGACCCATGCTTTTTTTCTGTTTTCCATTTGCTTGGTGAATTTTCCTCCATCCTTTTATTTTGAGCCTATATATGTCTTTGAACATGAGATGGGTCTCTTGAAGACAGCATTTACATTTAAGGTTAATATTGTTATATATGAATTTGATCCTGTCATCGTGATGCTGGCTGGTTATTTTGAAGACTTTTTTATGTGGTTGCTTCATAGTGTCACTGGTCTGTGTACTTCAGAGTGTTTTTCTAGTGGCTGGTAATGGTTTTTTTGATTTCTATATTTAATACTTCCTTCGGGAGCTCTTGCATGGCAGGCCTGCTGGTGATGAATTCCCTCAACATTTGCTTGTCTGAAAAGGATCTTATATCTCCTTTGCTTATGAAGCTTAGTTTGGCTGGATATGAAATTCTGGGTTTGAAATTGTTTTCTTTAAGACTGTAGAATATTTGCCCTCAATCTCTTCTGGCTTGTAGGGTTTCTGTGGAGAGATCTGCTGTTAGTCTGATGGGCTTCCCTTTGTAGGTGATCTGGACTTTCTCTCTGGTTGTCCTCAACATGTTTTCTTTCATTTTGACCTTGGAGAATTTGAAGATTGTGTGTCTTGGGGTTGATCTTCTTGTACAGTATCGTACTGGGGTTCTTTGGATTTCCTGAATTTGAATGTTGGCCTGTCTTGCTAGGCTGGAGAAGTTCTACTAGAGAATATCCTGAAGTATGTTTCCAACTTGATTCCATTCTTCCCATCTCTTTCAGGTACTCCAGTCAGTCATAGGTTCAAGCTTTTTACATAAACTCATATTTCTTTTTTTTCTTTCTTTTTTTTAATTGTACTTTAGGTTCTGGGGTACTTGTGCTGATCATGCAGGATTGTTGGATAGGTACATACTTGCCCAGGTGGTTTGCTTCCTCCATTCCCCCCATCACCTGCAACTGGCATTTCCCCCAGTGTTATCCTTCCCAGCCTCCCCTCCCCCCACTGTCCCTCCCTTAGCGCCCCCCACACCAACCCCAGTGTGTAAAGCACCTCTCCCTATGTTCTCATTGTTCAACACCCACCTATGAGTGGGAACATGTGGTGTTTGGTTTTCTGTTCTTGTGTCAGTTTGCTGAGAATGATGGTTTCCAGATTCATCCATGTCCCTACAAAGGACCCAAACTTGTCATTTTTTTATAGCTGCATAGTATTCCATGGTGTATATATGTCACATTTTCTTTGTCTAGTCTATCACTGATGGGTATTTGGGTTGGTTCCAAGTTTTTGCTATTGTAAACAGTGCCACAATGAACATACCTGTGCATGTGTCTTTATTGTAGAACAATTTATAATCCTTTGGTATATACCCAGTAATGGGATTGCTGGGTCAAATGGAATTTCTATTTCTAGATCCTTGAGGTATCCCCACACTTCTTCCACAATGGTTGAACTAATTTACACTACCACCAACAGTGTATAAGTGTTCCTTTTTCTCCACATCCTCTCCAGCATCTGTTGTCTTCTGATTTTTTAATGATCGACATTCTAACTGGCATGAGATGGTATCTCAGTGTGGTTTTGATTTGCATTTCTCTGATGACCAGTGATGATGAACATTTTTTCATATGTTTGTTGGCCTTATAAATGTCTTCTTTTGAAAGTGTCTGTTCATATCCTTTGCCCACTTTTGAATGGGTTTGTTTGTTTTTTTTTTCCTTGTAAATCTGCTTTAGTTCTTTGTAGATTCTGGATATTAGGCCTTTGTCAGATGGGTAGATTGCAAAGATTTTTTTCTCATGCTGTTGGTTGCGGGTTCACTCTAATGATTGTTTCTTTTGCTGTACAGAAGCTCTGGAGTTTAATTAGATCTCATTTGTCTATTTTGGCCTTTGTTGCCATTGCTTTTGCTGTTTTAGTCATGAAGCCCTTGCCTATGCCTATGTCCTGAATGGTTTTGCCTAGATTTTCTTCTAGGGTTTTTATGGTGTTAGGTTTTATGTTTAAATCTTTAATCCATCTGGAGTTAATTTTAGTGTAAGGTGTAAGGAAGGGGTCCAGTTCTCATATTTCACAGAGATTTTGTTTCCTTTTCATTCTTTTTTTCTCCATTCTTGTCTTTCTGTCTTATATCGGAAAGATAGTCTTCAAGCTCTGAGATTCATTTCTCTACTTGGTCTCTTCTGCTATTGATACTTGTGATTGCCTTGTGAATCTCTCGTGTTGTGTTTTTCAGCTATATCAGGTCAGTTATCCTCCTTTCTATACTGGCTATTCTTGTTACCATCTCCCATATTATTTTATCATGATTCTTAGCTTCTTTGCATTGGGTTAGAACATGCTCCTTTAGTGAAGTTCATTATTACCCACCTTCTGAAGCCTCCTTCTGTCAGTTCAGCCATCTCAGCCTCAGCCCACTTCCATGCCCTTTCTGGAGAGGTGTTGCAGTCATTTGGAGGAGAAGCAGCATTCTGTCTTTTTGGGGTTTCATCATTTTTGCATTGATTTTTTTTCTCATCTTTACGGGCTTATCCTCCTTCAATCTTTCAGGTTGCTGACCTTTGAATGGGTTTTTTACGGGGTCTTTTTTGTTGATGCTGTTGTTGTTGCTTTTTATATGTTTGTTTTTCTTTTGTCAGGCCACCTTCCATAGGGCTGTTGTGGTTTGCTGGGGTCTCGCTCCAGACTGTAGTCACTTCTGTTTCTTTTGCACCTGGAGGTATCATCAGTGAAGTCTGCAAAACAGCAAAAATGGCAGCCTGCTCCTTCCTCTGGGAACTCAGTCCCAGGGTGGGACCAAACTGATGCCACCTGAATGCTCCTGTCGGAGATGTCCAGAAACCCCGTTGGGAGGTATCACCCAGCCAGGAGAAATGGGGTCAGGGACCCATTTGGAGAAGCAGTCTGGCTTCCCCTTGGCAGAGTGGGTGCACTGTGCTGAGGGAAACACCTCTTGACCAGCAGAGCCAGCAGGCTAGAAAGGCTAAGTCGATTGAACCACAGAGACTGCAGCCACCCCTCCCCTTAGAAGCTGCATCCCAGGGAGAGATCAGAGCTCTGGTCCTGCTTGGATTCCCTGGAGCCAGCAGGCTAGAACAGCTGACTCCAACTGCGGAGATGGATTTCCCTCCAGTTGGGAATTTGGTCCATCTCAGGCAGTCCCCAACCTGCTGTTGCTGGCGAGCTGGAATTCCAAGCCAGTGGGTCTTAATTTGTGAGGTGCTGTGGGAATGGGGCCTGCAGAATGACACTGCATGGCTCCCTGGATTCAGTCCCCTTCTTAGGGAAATGCATGGCTGGATCTCCTACCCCATCAGAATTCCCGGAGATGGAGTGTGCAGAACTGGATCTCCATGCATGCCCAAGTGGCCACTTCCCTGAGACTGCATCGTTCTGTGCTTCAGAACCAAGGCCCTGGTGGCATGGGCTCATGAGAGGATCTCCTGATCTGCAGGTTGCAAAGATCCGTGGTAAGAATGTGGCTTCCCCGGCAGGGCTGCACAATCACTCAGTGCTTTTCTTGGCTCGGGGTGGGGACTTCCCTGGCTCCATACACCTTCTGGATGGGCCACCACCCCACCCTGCTTTTCCTTGCTTTCCATGGGTCAAGACCTCTGCCTAGTCAGTCCCAATGTGAGAACCTGGATACCTCCGTTGAAGGTGCAAAATTCACTCACTGTTTTCCTTCCTCTCTCCGTGAGAGCTATGGACTGCCGCTGCTTCTCATCAGCCATCCTGGCCTGCTCCTCAATTTTTTTCAACTTAACTAAAAAATTATTTTTAAGCAGAAAGTTAACACAGTTGAACGTATACTAAAAATCATTTCTAACTTGAAATAAGTGTCAGTTGAAATCTTAAATAAGTTTTTTATTTACCCTTATCTTAGTTGCTTGGAATCTGCCCGACATATATGTGGTTCAGAGATTTGGGCAGAATATATACACGGAATCTGGGGCTCCACTTTCATGTCTCTCTGCTTTCTAGAATTTCTCTCATTACTTTCCAGCTCTTATGGCTGCCTTGAACTCTATCTTCAGGTTCTTTCAGCAGTAAATCTTAATTTTCTAGCTGAGTTTTAACCCACATGATGTGACACAGACTGATGGGACTGCCTCTAGATTAAACATGAAAAAACAAGAAACCCTCTGTGTTCTCTTTCTGTAAGTGTCAACTCCCCACAGTTTCTGTCCGCTTTTTGGTCACTTCACAGTGCCTTCATCAAATGGTTTTTTAATATTTGGTCCAGAATTTAGCATTGTTTTCTGCAAAAATGTTTGTCTATTAAGTGCCACTTGGTCATAACCTAAAAACTCCAATTTCTGTTCTAAGTAGTTTATACCTGTTGACTTATTAATTCTCACTACCCGATCAATACTATGAAATAGGCCATTTTATAGATAAAAGTGCTGAGGCACAGAGAAATTGAGTGACTTGCCCAAGATCATGCAAGTAAATATAGACGCTCCAGAGTGTGACCTTCCAACATTTCTTGAAGTTAAATGTTAGCAGTGGACACAGAAACAGGAGGACAGATGTGAAAACTGTAAGAAATTAGAATGTCTCCAATTCTAATTGTCACATGGAGAGACAAGTATGAGGGTGTGATGGAAAGGGAAGGATGTAAGTGCTTTCTAGGTTTTTGGTTTGAGCAGTGGGGTAAATGGTGATAAAATTCGGTGATGAAAACTAGAGGAACACAGATTTTGTTGTTGGAGGGGGTATTTTAGACTTGGCAAATTTGAGATTCTGTTAGACATTCGAATGGAGTTGTTCAGTCGACTGTCAGGAATATGAGTCTGGAGCTCGGGGTTAGAGCTAGATTCACAGCTTTGGTAGACACTAGCGTAAGCGTGTCCTTTAAAGCCACTGGATTGGATGAGATAACTAGACAAAAGTACAGATGGAGAAAAGCAGAAAAAAATTCCAGAAGCACTCGAGAGATTGCATAGCATTTAGAAAAAGAAAGTAAGAAAAAGCAGCCAGTAATTCTGAAGGTAAATCAGGAGAATGTAGTGTCACGGACGCCAAGAGAAGAGAAAGATTTCAGAAGGAGTTGATGATGTACATGAAATTCTGCTGAAAGATTTAGAAAGGTAAGTACAGAAAAGTCTCATTTGCTATTGGATTTAGCAAAGGGGAAGTCAGTCAAGCAATAAGGTTGGAATCAGATTGGAGTAGGTTGGAGGATGAATATTTGAGTAAGGAAGTAGGGATAGCATGTTTTGAATAATTACTTAATAAGGTTTGTTATGAGTGGGGAGCAGAGGAATGAGGAATTTTTGTAAGTGGAAATGATACAGTAGAGAGGAAGACACTTGTCAATGTTATTTATTAATCAAAAATAGTAGATTTAGCTAATTTGTTGGATTCTTTTGAAAAATAAAATCATTTCTGCAAAACTGTTCTATAAACTGTGAACTTTAAGAATATTTTTAGGTATCTGATTTTTCTAGGCTTTATAATTTTTGTGGGTCTTCCTGTGTTTATCTTATACAGTAAATACATGGTGATTAAGGTCCACATTGGTTTTAACTTCTTTTGTGTAGTTTCATAAAAATGGATGTTTAATTAATGCTTTTTCTAAATGATTTCCTTTGGAGCTTTGAATAGTCATTTTAGTCCCCTGGGTTTCAATTTTCCCATTCTGAACTTAGGTGGTAAATGATGAAGAAATGTGTTTACTCTCATAGAGAGAGGTCCAGACATATTGCTAAGTGGAAAAGGAGTTTAAAAAACAACATATAATATACAATTTCATTTGTATAGAACCATGTTCATACATCAGTGTATTTCATATACCCATGTCTGGAAGAATTTGTTAACAAAATATCAAAATGAAATTATATATCTTTAAACTTAATGTAAAATAGTAAAATTAAATTAAAAAATTTTAAAACCATGCAAAAGTAGATAATTTTTTCCCCACGGTAGGATAAATTTTATCATTTGTAAAGAAATAAATATCAAAACCAAGGTGGCTTACTAGAAGAAAACCCCAGCTTGGTTTATTTGCTCCTGGACCCATAAAGGACTAAGCTACTGAGGAACTTTCTACTATTCCTAACTGAAGTTGGAAATCAGGCTGGATCCAGGTGCCTTTTGGCCCTTCCTTAAACTTTGTCATTTTCTATAAGCCTGTGCTTCAACAGAACCTATTTCCATCTATGCTTTGCTAATAGTAACAACTCTACTTCCTGACCCATTTCTATAAGCAAATTATTTTGGCTCTGGCTTTGAATAATGTTGTCAGTTAAACCCTGATTCCTTCTCTTTATTCAGGGCTTTATCCTAAGAATGCTCGGGAATCCTGAGTCCCAGCCCAGTGTCAGTTTGGAACATAAATTTCCTGCCTGTCTCTGCAGGACAAATGCTGCTCTGCCAGTTTTTTTGTGGCTTTGTTCCACTGTATCTCTGCAGTGGCCAAAGGTAGCATCATGTCCTGGTGCCCTCTGATGCAGCCTGCCACTTGCTCAGCTGCACCCTGGCATATAGCCCTGTGTACTGGGGTTCTCTGTGACGGTCCTTTTCGGATTAGAAGTGCTTTATAATAAACTGGTGACTGTGCTTATTTGGCTGTTGAAAAGGGAGTTCCTTTTAAAAAGGAAACTTAGTCCTTTGAAAAATCACACACACACATTTTAAAATTTTCTAGATAGTGTTTTTTACTTTTGAAGGTCACCTGAGGGTGAAGGGGTTGAGGGACATTTTCTTGAGCTGTTTACTCTGCATTAAATGTCCTTCCCTCTTTCTCCTTATCTCATACATCCCTGCTTTCAAGGTCCAGCTGAAGTCCCAGCCACCCTGTGAACCTTTTCTTATCACCCTTGCCTTGGAGATTTGCCCTTTCTCTGTGCTCTAGTAACACAGAATGACTGCATTAGCTTTTTCAAACTTAGCCTGTACTGCCTGTCTGTTAAGTAGAAGCTTCGTTTTCCCAGTTAGACTATCAGCTTTGTTCTTGTATTCACTTATTTATAGGCTTTGGAGTAAGAGTGGCTGGAACCCTATCTCTATCACTTGTGAGTTGTATGACCTTGTTCAAGCCACTTCCATCGCTATGCCTTAGGCTCCTTCTCTGTTCAATGTAAACATAGTACCCGTCTTTTAGAGTTGCTGGAAAGATTAAATGAAATAATACACGCAATGTGTGTAGTACAATGCCTGGCACATAGTTAGGGTTCAATAATTCATATATTTTATACTCTTGAAATTTAACTACTGCATAGTTAAAAGAACTGGTGAAACAGTTATGAGACAGGTAATAGTCTACAGAAATGGTTTCTGCTCTACCAAACCCAGCAGGGAGGCAGAGGGCAAGAGAGTCAATCGAAGCACAACAGGAAATTGTTTTTGCCCAGTAGAATTCACATTCTAGGATTTAATAACTAACTAGCCAATCGTTTATTTAAATATGAATCTTTTCAGAAGTATAGGGTGCTACAAAAATATCTGCCTCCCCTTGAAAGTTTTGGGAAGATTCCCCTAAGGAAGTGGTAAATGAATTTAGATCTTAAAAGGAATGGGTATGAACCAGTTGATTGTCAGGAAGTATATTCTTGGTAAAGGGAAGAGCATGTGTGGGGACTTTGAGCTGGAGGGAAGCGTGGAGCATCTGAGGACCTGAGAGATGGCCAGTGTGGCTGGAGCGTGATGGCTGAATGAGAAGAGAGGTCTGTAGAAGCCAGGCCTGCATTTTATGTGTCATTTTCCTAATATCTTGTGCCTATACATTAAGGAGCTTGTTCATACTCGTTAATGATTTAGTTTGTGTGGATGCTGGTTCATCTAATTCTTTTAGATACCAGAAGAAAGTTGTTTTCTGGGTATATGGTATATCGATAAGAGTCTGGTCAGGAAAACAGAAACTGCATTGGGCGTTTCAACAGTGAGAATTTAAGAAGCTGGTTAAACAGGACTGGAGAAATAACAACCCAAAGAAGAGATGCTGAGATCACAAAGAGAGAGTGACTATAAGAAGCTGCTACCTCTCCAGATCAGAATCTGGAGCTTTGTCTTCATTACCTCTCTCTCAAGCATCCAGTCTCTCACAAAGTCCTGTCTTCACAGCCCAGAGAGCTAAAACACAGATCCTTGTATGTGTCAGTGGGTGGAGGGCAGGAGGTGCCGGCCTGGGTGCTGCCCAGCACGTGCTGGTAACTCAGGAGCTCAGAAGAGCCGGGAAGACTTCCCAGCTAGTGCTGGTACCTGTACCTCTAAGAGGGCACATTCAGATGAGTTCATAGAATACTGAAATAAAAGAGGAGACAGAAGCCAATTGCCCATCCCCGGATGCAGAGCCATTGCTAAGGTGATGATAGGAACAGGAAGAAAGCAAGAAGGAGCCAGCCATTAACCTCCCTCTAGCGGCCACTACTGGCGGGAGCTGACAGGGAGTCAGCAGGTGAAGCTGATTTGCAGTCCCAGACCCAGTATCACATAATGAAGATATGAGGGGTGAAAAAGAAGAATGGAGAAGGTAGGCTTCGATAGCCAGATGTGGAGGGTGACATGGTCTTGCTTTGGATAAAGTTTGACTCTCTCATTTCTGCCTTTCAACATGCATTATTTTCACAGTCTTTGCAGAAAAAAAGTATTTTATTAACTCATTAACTCTTTGGAAAATAATGAACATAATTTCTTTTGCTAATGCAGAAACATAGGGGAAACGTTTTTGTAATTTTTATGTCACTCCAGTCTCTGATTGGAGATATATTTATCTCTATCTCTATCTAGATAGAGATAGAGATAGAAATGTTCACACATACAGACGTATACACATATGTATTTATTTTTAAAATTGTTGAAAAAGAACCAAAATTTGTAAGTTCTCACTGTTGGACTTAAAGCTGTAGGAAACTAGACTATGCATTCATGAAAAGGAGACCGAGGATCATTATAAAGGTTGGTTTCAGGCCCTGAAGAGTCCTGCCATCCCAGATCTCTGAACTCCAGGGAAAACCCTATATTTCTACCATTCCATTGGTGATTGATCGCAAACCCCCTGGGGTTTGGAGAATCACATGTATTTTTCCTCCCAGCCTCTGCTATAGGTTTTCATTGGCTGTTGAAGCTGAACAGGAACCACCAAAAGCTCTACCCAGAGACCTGTTTATCATCCCCCACCCCATAGTGTGAAAGATTTTTGTCACCTAAACCACAAACAATATGTTATAAATCATTTCTCAATATTTTTAAATAAAAATATTTTTAAAAGTTAGATATTGTTTCAGTACCAAGTTGACTGACTTCCAAGCACAAGCAACAGATGTTCTCCTCATCCCAAGCAATTCTAACAAAGATTAAACTGTGATTTTAATTTGATATTGTGGAACATTAAAAATAATTGTTGGACTCCCCAATACTGCTTTTAAGTACCTCAGGAGACACAGGCTTAGGTATAATTTTTTTTCATGTGTACCATATTAAAAGATACATTTGCATGGAAGATCTATTTACTGCAAAAGTGTGGCTTTTGGCCAATTCCTCTTAATTCATGACAGTGCTTGATTTCAGTACTGTAGTTCTTTGATATCGACTCCCCTGTGTCTCCAGTGAATTTGTGAAATAAGCACCTTGACTGGCGTGGAAGGAGCTGTTACTACAAACTTTTCATATAAAAGGAACATTGAAATGCTACTTATCTAATTGGCTCATTGTCTCAAATATTCATTTCCTAGAAATAATCCTTTGTTCTTATCCATAATAATTGAAACCTTATGGTTTTATTTTACCTGCTTTCTTTGTTCTAATTTTCAGCATTAAAAAGCAATGATCGCTTTGGCAAAAAATAATTCCTGCAGATCATTATTTTGTGGCCAGTCCTACCTGGCCTATGAGTTCTGCTGTAGTGCCATGTGTTTTGATATTGTTACTTAAATCAACACCAACAGAATTACTGGCAATCACAAACAAAGGTCTAACAATTCAGTGTTCAGTTGCAGAGTAAAATGCATTTTAAAAAATTAAGACTTCAAAGAAAGATGGAAATAACTATATGATAAACAGATAAACATGTTTATTTCTCAAAAATTTGAGTTTGTTATAGATTCCTTAAAAAATTGCCTTGTTATCAGTTTTTAAAAATAAATTATGCATTATTTATGTGTTTGCTTTTCTGCTGGTAACAGTATTTCTGTGACAAACAAAACAATAAAAAACAAAAAACCTACAATGCAAACATAAACCTTTGATGAGGCTTGGAATTCTTTCTACTCTAATATGCCTAACATTTGCCTTCTGCTCATTGGTTCAATTATGGATTTGAAAGACTGATTCTCAAAAGCTGATTCTGTATGCTTTGCTTTCCAGTAGATATTTTGCCAAACAGGTCTGGATTTTGCCAGTTGTAGAGTTGCATACTTTAACATTAATGTGTAAACAGGTAACTTTTATTAACTTAGTCAAACAGAAACATTGACCGCAATTATGAAACATGGTTACTATTTTTTAAGTAAGTAACAAACTTAAAACAACATTAAAAGATGTTAATAAAAACCTAAGTAGAGTTTTGTACCTTCATTGATGATCCTTAGCTACTGTCAATCAAACTTCATCTCTAGTCTATTTTTAGTCTGGAAAGAAACTGCTTATCCTTAACTTGCCCAGAGATTCTTCTGGGGCTTTTCTACTATGCTGAGATTTTAATAACGTTGCTAGATAGTTTTTCATTTTTGTTACAAGATTTAACTTCCTTATTGAGTCAATCTTTTGACTGTCTTCAGCTTCCCCTGTTATCGCTACTTAGTTCTCTTGTGAACCTAAGTGCCATGCACCTAATCTCTTACTTTCTCCTAAATGGGGTAAAAATTGTCATTGTGACTCACAAAGCTGCTGCTGATGGACGGAAATTACAGGTGTGATGTACTTCTCAGTAGGAGCACACCAACTTAGCAATCACATTTCCCCTCTCAACTCTGCATAAACTTACTAGTTTTATTTGCCCCTTCTTTAAAAAAAAAACTATTTTGAGCTACTTTTCTTTTTCCTTGGCAAACTGCTCAGTTGGGTGCCTGTAAAATGAATTGTACATCAAATACATTCCATAGCAATCCTCACATGCATGCTTTATTATGGTTTATTTCTGGTCTTACCTAGACAATATACTCTAAGTTAAAACATCTAAGTAATATCAAAATGTAACTTTCAGAAACACACTGGAACTCTCTAGGGAGTCAACAAAAATGCAAAGTAATTTTAAAACAAATTCACATATTAGGGAAAATAATAACTATGTATAATGGTGCTTTCTATGGCTAGTAAAAGGAAGCCCCTTATAATAGCCCTTGGTAGGCAGACTGTTTTGGCGGGGAGGAGGTAGTAAATTTTGCATAAGGGCCAAAGAGGCTCCTAGGACTAAAGACTCAAGAAACTGACCTCATCTCTTTTGAGTTTTAATATTATTAGACTATCACTGGTAGACAGAATTCAGCAAACTGAAGACTCCAAAATCTCCTAAGAAATGTGCAGAAGTAGTGTCCCAGTCTTAACACCGGGTTTGCATGTTGATGGCACATGTCTGCAATACGTGGATATGGTAGAAGCTATTCTTTACTAAGCCAGGCGTATGCTTGGAATCATGTTTTAGCTGCAATGATGGAATATGTGACTGTGACTTAAAACAACTGCAGCAAGGATCAGCAAGGAAATCACTGCAGCTGGACAAGCATCCGCTGGGCACCTAGTGCTCAGTAACTATGTCAATGTAGTTGCTACTTAGCAAGTATGCTACTGGTCTCATTAGACTCCCTGGTTCTCTCTACTTGGTTTGGAAGTAGAAATGACCACTTGGGGCTGAATAAGCAGTAAGATACTTGTACAATTAACAACAAGCAGTGGTTTCTAAAGGAAAATACTGGACTTGCTAATAAGTAATTAGTATTATAATGGCAAAATAACTTTGTATTTTGAGCTGATAAAGAAGGTCATATTGGTAACATATGTTTGAAAATGTTAAGATGATCATAATTTTCTCTGAACTTCCATAGTTAGGGCATTTATCGTTTTTGTTATATTAAAATTATTTTTTTCAAACGTCTTATGACTCCAAATTTGGATTATTGAAGGCCATGACTTATCTTTATATCAATCCTTGCCTTCTTTCCCATTGTAGTACAGCAGAATGCCTTGTGCAAAGTAGAAACTAAATTAACTAAGTAAGTATTAAATCATAAAGTGAGACAATACATTAGAAACACTGAAAATATTTCAAATACTGAAAATTCATTTTTTTCATGAATAGTATTTCTTTTTTTCAAGAAAGAATTTTTTTTGCAACTAAAGTTTGAGATAATTGCTATGTTGGTAAGATGCACAGAGAAATAGTTTCAGGAGCCAGACCTAGGTACAAAAGCAAAACAATAGCGGCTCATAGAGAAATTCTGATTTATATTTTGAGCTTATTGCTGTATCTTTTTTAGAAGTCTTTTGTTTTCAGTTCTTTGATTTCCTTGTTGGTTGTGTTTGCATTTACATATTTTATTTTATGCTATGTTAAAATGTGCCTCTGTGGATTTATTGTCAACATTTAGTTTTTAAAAATTTATATTCTACTCTTGTAAAAGTTCGTATTCTGCTAATGAAACAAACTATGGTGTAGCAAGATTTTCATATAGTTCCATTGTAGAAATAAATTATCTTCTATTCTTTTCAATTTTGAAGAAATGTAGAGTATAAGAATAAATTCAGTGATTGATAGGTGTGGGAAAGAGAGTGAGGCATTTGAATGTGACATTGCTATTGTCTTCCAATATTTATTCTCCTTCTCTTAGCAATAGAACCTCTTATTTTTAGACAAGCGCATATCTGCTAAGAATTAAGACTGCACTTCTTATCCTCATTTGCAGCCATGTGTGGCCATTCGCCCAACCTCTGGTCAGTGGAATGTGAATGAAAGCATGCGGCTTCCAGCAAAGGCACCTAAAGTGTCTGTGGAGTAGGAGGGGGAGTCATGTCCTCGTTCCTCTCTTTTTCTAACAAAGGTTGGCGACATCTTGGGCAAGGAGGCGAATTTGTGAATGGAAGCCTAGTCTTATGCACTGTGGCACTCCAAACTAGCCCTGGACAATCTAATTCCGGTTTTTATGAGAGGAAAAAACAAACTCTCAATTTGCTTCAGCCACTATTGTATTAGGTATTAGGTATTCTATTTTTTGCAAAAAAAATAATCCCAACTGAAACTCCATTATTGGAAATTTGGAGGCTGATGTTAGTATTCTGCTCTTAAAGTAATATTATTTAATTCTGTAAATTGGGACTCCTTCTTGAAGATCTCAACTGCTTGATTGTCCTAGCAGTTGGAATGTTGAAATGGAAGTCAGTGCGTAGTATGGGGTAAATTTTTAATGCTGTTATTTAAGTTTCTGTATCCACAATGTAAAAAAAGAGAAACAAATGTGAAAGTGATGGTAATTATTTGACTGTTCATCTCTAAACAGAGGTGGGTTTCCTTTCAAATTATATCTGTCCCTATAGTGATTCATTTGGGGTGTCAACTTGACTGGATTAAGATTACCTGGAGAACTGGTAAAGCATTATTTCTGGTATGTGTGTGAGAATGTTTATGAAGGAGATTAGTGGTGAGTCAGCAGACTGAGTGGGGAAGATCTGTCCTCAGTGTGGGCGGGCACCATCCAATCAATTGGGGACCTGAATAGAACAGAAAAGGCTCAGGAAGGGCGATTTCCTCTCTCTCTTTCCTGGAGCCTGGGATACTCTTCTACTGCCTTTGGATTTCAGAACTTCAGGTTCTCTGGCCCTTGGGCTTCAGGCCTCGCACCAGCAGCTCCTCAGGTTCTTGGGTCTTCTGAGAGTTATGCCATCAGCTTCCCTGGTTCTGAGGCTTTTGAACTGAGACTGAGCCACTCAACTGGCACCCTGTGGTCTTCGGCTTGCAGACAGCCTGTCATGGAACTTAGACTCCATAACCATGGGAGCCAATTCGCTAGTCAATCTTCTCTCCTCTCATAAATCAATCAACCAGTCAATCCATCCATCCATCCATCCATCCATTCATCCATCCATCCATCCATCCATCCATCCTATTGAACCTGTCTCTGTGGAGAGCCCCAACTAATGTAGTCCTCGGCCTCACACCACTTCAGATGGGAGTGGTTCTTGAAGTAATCTAGACTTTAAAATTTTCTCTGTCCTAGGGCAATACGACATTGCTTTTACCAGGAGTCTCTTATAATTTAAATTCACTCACCTCAAAGCATTCTCTATGGCTGCCATTTATTTCCTATGGTCTCTGCCTCAAATAGCCATGAGCCTGGTAACCAACTAAAAAAGGCCAGCTGTGGATGCTCCAGAGTTGCTTGAGCCAGTTTCTTCAGACTCTCTCTCCTGTTCCCCGCACGCTCTGACTCATTGGCCTCAAGTGTTGTCTTCACAGCTGTAACATCAACTTCAGGGCTGCCACTGACCCTTTGGATTGAATGTTCACAATTAGTTTTCATGGCTTCTTACTCTTAGCTTACCCTAAGTGATACTTACCTTGTTTTTAACTTTCTACCATTCACATTATGAGTTGGCTTGACCAAAGCTTCCCCCTCCATGTCCTGGTTACGAAAGAGACACAACAGCCATTCTAGGAAGCAGGCAAAAGGAGCCCACAGTATGGGGAATGGTTGCCATTTTGTCACAGCCTCACTTTTTCCTTTGAGAGAAGACTCACAGCTTTCATCAGATGGGGCAGTGAAAGATTTTAGATAGGGGAGTGAGCTGATCAAATCTGGGTCTAAAAATATGACTTTGGGAGCCATACTGAAGGAGGGAACTGAGGAGGTATTTAAGAGAGGAATAATGATTAGGTGGTGATTATAATAGTCTGGATGAGAGATAATAAAAGCCTAAATTCAGGCACTTAGTAGTGATGACAGAAAGAATAGTAGAGATATAAAGGGCCATTTAGAGGGTATCCGTGGAAGGACACAGAGATTAGGTATATCGTGAAAGGAAAGGCAAAGAATCCAGAACAACCCCAGTTCAGGGTATGAGAAGCCACTGTGAGCTGGGCCACTCCCTAAAGTAGCAAAAGAGATAAGCTAGAGTAAAATTTAGGAGGAGACAATATATTCAGCTTGTGATTTGCCCAGTTCTAGAGCCTCTGGCCGGGCTCGCCCCCATAATCCCAGCACTTTTGGGAGGCTGAGGCAGGTGGATCACTGAGGTCAGGAGTTTAGGACCTGCCTGGGCAACATGGTAAAACCCCATCTCTACAAAAAATACAAAAATTAGCCACATGCAGTGGTACGTGCTGCAGTCCCAGCTACTCTGTAGGCTGAGGTGGGAGGATCGCTTGAGCCCAGGAGGCTGCATTAGAGTGGGCAGAGATGGTGCCACTGTACTCTAGCCTGGGCAGCAGACCCTGTCTCAAAAAAAAAAAAAAAAAAAAAAAGTGCCTCTGAGCCATCTGGGTGGATATGCCTGGTAAGCACTTGAAAACATAAATCAGCGGGGAAATGAAAGTAGAAATCACCAGCAGATGGGTAGTAGTTGAAACCAGGGAAATGAACGAGATCACTGAGGGAGAACACAGAGGCTGAGGAGAGGTGGGTTCTTGTACAAGGGTAGAATCACAGACAAATCAACTCATGAGGCAGAAGAAGATCATCCAGGGGCGGGGGAGAAGAAAGGAAAAATGGTAAGAGAGGACGGAAATGTTCCGAAGGGAAACAAGAGAACTGTTAGAATCTGTTTTCCTTTTACGAAAGTAATTTATGCAGCTGTGGCAGACATATGTTGTGTTTAATAGTTCATTTTTGTTTTTTCTTCTCTCCTGGGCACTGGGAGGACTATTTTTCAGTCCTCTGCTGCATCTGGATGGGGCTGTGGGACTGAGCACGGGCATGATAAAGGAGGTAGAGGTGGGAGTGATGTGACTTCCACCAGGCCCCTGCAGCACTGTGGGTGATGTGTGTACGTGTCCTCTCCTTCCCATCCGTGTGACTGCCTGGAGCCATATAGGAGAACTTTCTGACTGGTAGTATCCACATCAGACTTAACTTGAGGTAGAAATTAGCCTGTGTTGTGTTAATCTACTGAGATCTTGAGATTATTCGTTATAGAAGTTAACACATTTTGATTGATATGACAGTTTAAAAATATTTTTAAATGGGGATTTTAAATTGTACTTTTGGCACTGGGGACACACTTTAAAAACACAGTCATCCTGACAGTATGCATCTTTTAAGATATTCTGTTTGCTGTCTTTTCAAGCAAGGATATAATTTTCAGAGTCATTGGAATGGCATCCAAATCTTAAATTTATGTTTAAAACAGATTAATAATAGATAGTGGAACAAAAGGTTAGCACATGCAGACACCCAAAGCTCTCGTCCTGATTCTGTTACAGCCTAGTGAGGAGACTGGCATGCCTTTTCCCAACCAGCCTTCTTGCTGCCGTGAAACCGTACGGGGTATGGCCTCTAGTTAAAATCCCTGGCGTCAAGGACTCTTGACATTTGTATGTGATTTCTCTGGATGGAATGTTTAAGCAGTGGCTTACTATCACAGCTGATGCTTCCTGGTGCCAGGATTAGGACCTAAATATAATGTATGTACCTAGCACTAGGCGTGGTGCCTCACACCTTCTCACAGTACTTTGGGAGGCCAAGGTAGAAGAATTGCTTGAGCCCAGGAGTTCAAGACCAGCCTGGGCAACATAACGAGACCTTGTCTCTACTAAAAAAATTAGCTGGGCATGGTGGCACACACTTGTGGTCTCAGCCACTTGGGTGGCTGAGACAAGAGGATTGCTTAAATAATGCTTGCAATACTTTGTATATCCTTTATGCAGTTATAGGATACCAGGGACATCTTAAAGGCTAAGTCAAGCTCAGACACTTCATCCCCTATTTACAACAGAAATCAGGACAGATTTTATCACTCAGTTACAAATAAGGTATGGTACTTAATATATAGCCCAGGCTGTAGGATTTATTAAGGAATGAAGTTATTTTGCCAACCTTATTTATACAACACAACATACAAGTATCTATGCCAAATTATAAAAATTCTTGACATTAATTTATTTAACTTACTACGTATTGGCTTATCTGCAAAGTCCAGCGTCAATGTGGAAATTATAAATAGTATGTCTGTTTGGCAGAGTCTCTGAGATTAATGAGTGTTATTGTCCCACAGAAGAAGAAATACTTCGAAATTATATTACAAAATTCCCACAGCTTGACAGTCTGTTCCAATGCCGCACTCTGTTCATGGTTGCTTTTGGCAATTATAATTTCTTGCATAGTCTTTGGTGTTAGTTATGTTATTCAGTCAAGATATAATGAAAACAATTCATTCATCATCAATTACTGTTCAAAGCAAGAGACAGAAAAAAATGCGGCAAAAAATTTTCAAACAAACTGAGTTAAAGTTTTTGGTAATGACATTCTAGGAGAAACTCTTCACAAGAATAAAAATAGCGATCATCAGAGTAGCTACATTATGCCACTGACTTTGCATACATTATCTCATTTAAGCCTCACAAAACACCTAAGAAGTGAGTATAATTATTATCCACATTTTATGGATGAAGATTTTGAAGGCCTGCGGGATAACTCGCTTAAGTTCACACACCTCATAAATCCAATTAAAAAATGCGCAAAAGCTCTGTATAGACATTTCTCCGGACAAGACCCACAGCTGCTAAACAGGCATATGAAAAGGTGCTCGGCATCACTGATCATCAGAGAAATGCACATCAAAACTACAATGAAGTGTCATTTCACCACAGCTCAATGGCTTACACCCAAAAGACAGGCAATAACAAATGCTGAGAATGTGGAGAAAAGGGAACACGCTTACACTGTTGGTGAAAAGGTAAAGTAATATAACCACTTTGGACAACAGTTTGGAGGTTCCTCAAAAAACTAAAAATTGAGCTACCATATGGTCCAGCAATCCCAGTGCTGGGTATATACCCAAAAGAAAGGAAATCAGTTTAGTGAAGAGATATCTGCATTCCTGTGTTTCTTGTAGCACTGTTCACAATAGTCAAGATTTGGAAGCAACCTAACTGTCCATCAACAGATGAATAGATAAGAAAATGTGGTATAAATACTCAATAGACTGTGTATAGTATTCAGCCATAAAAAGTAAATGAGGTACTGTCATTTGCAACAACATGGATGGAACTAGAGGTCATTATGTTAAGTGAAATAAGCCAGGCACAGAAATACGAACGTCACAGATGCTCACTTATTCATAGGATCTAAAAATCAAAACAATTGAACTCATGAAGATAGAGATTGAAGGATGGTTACCAGAGTTAGGGAAGGGTAGTGAGGGTGAGTTTGGGAGAGGTAAGGATGGTTAATGGCTTGAAAAAAATAGAAAAATGAATAAGACCTAGTATTTGATAGCACAAGA